TTTACAAACGCTAATATTTCTACAACAATAAGACTCAAGGATAAAAAAAAACAAGATCGAAGATTATATTTAGGATTTATCGACATAAATAATCCTCACACCGAGATGAAGGTAGATAAAGATAAGGATAAGGATAAAAGAAGTACAGAAAATACCCCAACAATTCGTCGTCGTGATGATCTTACCTTCATGACCCCGGTGGAAAGGAACTTCTGGTCAGTGTGGAGTGGTTACCTGTTCCCTAATCGTCCTCACCACTACGTCACCAGGAACTCCAACAGTGACACTAATGTTGTGGTCTACGATAGCACAATACCTGGTCAGGAGGGTGGTGGTGGTGTGAGAGGCGGTGGTGATGGTAGTGAAGCGACTCATGACAGTATAGAAACAAGGATGCAGAACAATTCGTTTAGCAGGAGAGTAAACAGTAATAACACATACTTAGAGCGAGTTGAAGAAGACGACCACATTATCACAGGAATCTTAAGTAGCGCCCTAAGTCCAGCTAACACTGCCATCTCACCCAGGTATAATAATACCCCATCGACCATTGTTGAACCTTTTCAATATAAAATTCTTTTAGCAGAGTTCCACGACATCATGAATGAGCCGAGTGATGACCAACAGGTACAGGAGGTCTTAAAAGTGCAGTATGATAGGGATGGGTCACAAGCTATGGAACAAGTGGTACACAAACTTGTCGTCTTTACAACAACTGTACAAAGTGCTCACTTATCCGAAACTGAGATCCTGTACTTGCTGACCGTCATCAGAGATTACTTGGATGATCAGTTTTCCCTCGGGAACCATGGCGATGGAAATAATAATAATGCTGATACACTTAATGCTACAGACAACGAGGATGAGAGTGATGCCATACAAGAAACACAATTCCTCATTGATAATAGTGATGGCTGGAATGAGACTGACGTTCAAGAGGACAATTATCGAGGGACATATCAGCCTAAATGGGGTCAAGATTTTCCCTCCAAGTCCGGGGTGGCAGTAGATCCTGGAGGGTATGTCCCTACCTGGCAACACCCCAGTACTACCCAGACACCAAGTTACTACCACCACCTCTACCAACCAGAAGCCCTCGTGAGTGTTAAAAGTCAGATAGGGTCCACTAATACCATCACCAGCGGCCCTTTCCAGTACAAGAATGGAACGGTGATCTTCTTCAGCGGCAATCCGGATTTTGGAATACGTACTGCACTACAGAAACTTCATGACACCCTCATGAAAAAAATTATTAGGCTAAAACAACATTCACGAAGTTCCTCAACCACTCCATCCACCACTGCTACCACCGTCACCACACTCCGCGATGAGTTCTCTGACCAGGAGATAAAGGTGACAAGCACCCTTCTCTCTCTGCTGCAAGAGGCCACCAATGCCATCGTCGACGAATTCCTTACCAACATCACCCCTAAAGGCCACGTCGACGAACACAACCCTGGTCTGTCTCCACCACCACCTCACAATCACACCCTCGAAAAGGATTATAACAACACTGATCCACAAACTGCCAGTATAATCCTAAACATAAGTCAGACAACAAGTAAACCGTTTATGCACAGTGAAGGAAGTGCACCGATAACCCCTAATTCGCATTTAAAAACTTCATGGTTACAATCTCCAATAGATTCCCTTTCGACTGACCTTCAACTATCAGCAGTACACAACGTTCAAGGCAATACTCCCAAAGAGGAATTTGTGAATAGCGCTTCCTTGGCACCAAATACAGAAGATATAGAGATCCTGGTTGATATTTCACGCCCCCATAACATAATACCAGAAGCGTCAGTCACTGGTTCAGACGAAGGAGTCACTTCAAACGCAGACGATGACAGTAGCATGTACATCATTACTCAACGACAGGAATCCATCATACTTTCGGAACCAAAATCAGAAAAGAATTTGAAGCCTAATGATACTAATTTGTTACTTGAGAGCAAAATCACTTCGAACCATCAACACAATGGGAACTGGCAGCTTCAAGACGACGCTGCAAGAACTCGCGAGGATGTAAATGAACCACAAGTATCGATCACAGTATCTCAGAACCAGAATCAGAATCAAAATCAAGGGTTTGTACCATGGCTCCCAAACAGGCCCTCGGTGGGGATACTGCCAGGTACCCAGGTGGTTACTGGGGTACACTCGGGGTCTCAGGGCTTCATCCAAGGGCTCTTACAGTCACTTCTTGGCCAAGGTATTCCTAGACCAACTGGTATAGGGCTGGTGAATGGGCAGACAGTGGTAGGTGGTGGTAGTGGGTCAGCTGGCGGGGGGCAGCTGTACCCCTCTTTAGTTCTACCTACCATACCTTCTGGTGGGCAGTACCCACTTCTGGTTCTACCCAACCAACAAAGTGGTTCTAATGGGTATCCCTTCTACCCAGGAGGTTCTCTTACTGGTCAATACCCATTCTTAATTGTACCAGACCAAGGTATTTCTGGAACAAGTTCTAACGGATACCCTTTCTTGGTTACACAAAATCCAGGTGGTTCTGGTACAAGTGGATACACTTTTTTAGTTGTACACAATCCATATGGTTCTGGTACTAGTGGATATCCTTATGTAGTAATTCCAAACCCCGATGGTTCTGGAACAGCCGGGGTAGAACATGTATTTTCGATTGTACCAAATCCAGATGGTACTCTTAGTGGTGGATACCCATTCTTAGTTGTACCTAATCCAGATGACACTGGAACAAGTGCCGATGGTTACCCTTTCCAGATTGTACCAGACCTAGAAACTTCTGTAACAGGTTCTGGTGGATATCCTTTCCAGATTGTACCAGACCTGGGAACATCTGGAACAAGTACTGGTATTGGTGTGTACCCATTCTTGGTTGTAACAAATCCAGATAATACTGGAACAAGTGGCGAGGGATACCAATCCCAGATTGTACCAGATTCTGTAGGTTCTGGAACAAGTACTAGTATATATCCATTCTTAGTTGTACCAAATAATGATGGAACAGAAACTGGTGGATACCCGTTCCAGATTGTACCAGACCAGGGAAGTTATGGAACAAACTTTGATGAGTACCCTTTTTTAGTTGTACCAAATCCAGATAGTTCTGGCTACCCATATTTAGTAGTTCCAAACCTTGGTATTTCTGGAACAGGTACGGAATATTCATTTTCGGTTGTACCAAATCCAGATGGTTCTCAAGATGGTGGATACCCATTCATGGTTGTACCAAACCCAGATGACACTGGAACAAGTACCGATGGATACCCTTTCCAGATTGTACCAGACCCAAATGGTTTGGGTACTGAAGGATTTCCCTTTTTAGTTGTACCAAATCCAGATAACACTGGAACAAGTGGTGACGGATACCCTTCTCCGATTGAACCAGACTCGGGAGGTTCTGGAACAAGTACTAGTATATATCCATTCTTAGTTGTACCAAATAATGATGGAACAGAAACTGGTGGATACCCGTTCCAGATTGTACCAGACCAGGGAAGTTATGGAACAAACTTTGATGAGTACCCTTTTTTAGTTGTACCAAATCCAGATAGTTCTGGCTACCCATATTTAGTAGTTCCAAACCTTGGTATTTCTGGAACAGGTACGGAATATTCATTTTCGGTTGTACCAAATCCAGATGGTTCTCAAGATGGTGGATACCCATTCATGGTTGTACCAAACCCAGATGACACTGGAACAAGTACCGATGGATACCCTTTCCAGATTGTACCAGACCCAAATGGTTTGGGTACTGAAGGATTTCCCTTTTTAGTTGTACCAAATCCAGATAACACTGGAACAAGTGGTGACGGATACCCTTCTCCGATTGAACCAGACTCGGGAGGTTCTGGAACAAGTACTAGTATATATCCATTCTTAGTTGTACCAAATAATGATGGAACAGAAACTGGTGGATACCCTTTCCAGATTGTACCAGACCAGGGAAGTTCTGGAACAAGCTTTGATGAGTACCCTTTTTTAGTTGTACCAAATCCAGATAGTTCTGGCTACCCTTATTTAGTAGTTCCAAACCTTGGTATTTCTGGAACAGGTACGGAATATTCATTTTCGGTTGTACCAAATCCAGATGGTTCTCAAGATGGTGGATACCCATTCATGGTTGTACCAAACCCAGATGACACTGGAACAAGTACCGATGGATACCCTTTCCAGATTGTACCAGACCCAAATGGTTTGGGTACTGAAGGATTTCCCTTTTTAGTTGTACCAAATCCAGATAACACTGGAACAAGTGGTGACGGATACCCTTCTCCGATTGAACCAGACTCGGGAGGTTCTGGAACAAGTACTAGTATATATCCATTCTTAGTTGTACCAAATAATGATGGAACAGAAACTGGTGGATACCCTTTCCAGATTGTACCAGACCAGGGAAGTTCTGGAACAAGCTTTGATGAGTACCCTTTTTTAGTTGTACCAAATCCAGATAGTTCTGGCTACCCTTATTTAGTAGTTCCAAACCTTGGTATTTCTGGAACAGGTACGGAATATTCATTTTCGGTTGTACCAAATCCAGATGGTTCTCAAGATGGTGGATACCCATTCATGGTTGTACCAAACCCAGATGACACTGGAACAAGTACCGATGGATACCCTTTCCAGATTGTACCAGACCCAAATGGTTTGGGTACTGAAGGATTTCCCTTTTTAGTTGTACCAAATCCAGATAACACTGGAACAAGTGGTGACGGATACCCTTCTCCGATTGAACCAGACTCGGGAGGTTCTGGAACAAGTACTAGTATATATCCATTCTTAGTTGTACCAAATAATGATGGAACAGAAACTGGTGGATACCCTTTCCAGATTGTACCAGACCAGGGAAGTTCTGGAACAAGCATTGATGAGTACCCTTTTTGGTTGTACCAAATCCAGATAGTTCTGGCTACCCTTATTTAGTAGTTCCAAACCTTGGTATTTCTGGAACAGGTACGGAATATTCATTTTCGGTTGTACCAAATCCAGATGGTTCTCAAGATGGTGGATATCCATTCATGGTTGTACTACAGAATGACACTGGAACAAGTACCGATGGATACCCTTTCCAGATTGTACCGAACCCAAATGGTTTGGGTACTGAAGGATTCCTTTTAGTTGTACCAAATCCAGATAACACTGGAACAAGTGGTGACGGATACCCTTCTCCGATTGAACCAGATTGGAGGTTCTGGAACAGTACTAGTAAATATCCATTCTTAGTTGTACCAGATGATTCTGGAACAAACTGGTGGATATCCTTTCCAGATTGTACCAGACCAGGAAGTTCTGAACAAGCATTGATGAGTACCCTTTTTGGTTACCAAATCCAGATAGTTCTGGCTACCCTTATTTAGTAGTTCCAAACCTTGGTATTTCTGGAACAGGTACGGAATATTCATTTTCGGTTGTACCAAATCCAGATGGTTCTCAAGATGGTGGATATCCATTCATGGTTGTACCAAACCCAGATGACACTGGAACAAGTACCGATGGATATCCTTTCCAGATTGTACCAGACACTGGAAGTTCTGAAACGAGCATTGATGGATATCCTTTCTTGATTGTACCAAACTCAGGTGATTTTGAGACAAATACAAGTGACGAGGGAAGTTCTGACACAACTACTAGCAGTTCTACTACAGTAAGCGAGGACCAGACACCTGGTTCTGGTTCAGAGAATCAATACCCTTTCTTAGTCATACCAGATTCTACCAATTCTGGCACGATTACTGGCGGACTCATCATACCAAGCAACCCTTCCACATCGACCACGAGTGAAGGAAGTACCTCACCCTTCTTGGTTATACCAGATCTACCCCTAGCAATGGCACTCGTCCCCCTATCTTGGTGTACCCAGGTGGACCAGACAGTTCTGGGAATCTGGGTGAGCCAACACATATCTTTATCCCAGATGAAGGTCAACAACCAACAGGCTCTGGTCTTGTGCCTGGGATACTAGTGGCTATACCTCAGTCAACCACCACAACACTTCAAACCACAACTGCAGAACCAACAACTATTCAGTCTACAACTTCGGAACAACCTACAACTGCACAAGAGCCTACAACCACAGATCAACCTACAACCACAGAACCTATAACTACAGAACAACCCAGAACCACAGAACAACCTACAACCACAGAACAACTTACAACTACAGAACCTACAACCACAGAACAACCTACAACCACAGAACAAGTACAACCACAGAACAACCTACAACCACAGAACAACCTACAACCACAGAACAACCTACAACCACAGAACAACTTACAACTACAGATCAACCGATAACTACAGAACAACCTACAACCACAGAACAACCTACAACCAAGAACAACCTACAACCACAGAACAACCTACAAACCACAGAACAACTTACAACTACAGATCAACCGATAACTACAGAACAACCTACAACCACAGAACAACCTACAAACCACAGAACAACCTACAACTACACAAGAACCTACAACCACAGAACAACTTACAACTACAGAACAACCGATAACTACAGAACAACCTACAACCACAGAACAATCTACAACCACAGAACAACCTACAACCACAGAACAACCTACAACCACAGACAACCTACAACCACAGAACAACACAACTACAGATCAACCCATAACTACAGAACAACCTACAACCTCAGGACAACCACAACCACAGAACAACCTACAACTACACAGAACCTACAACCACAGAACAACTTACAACTACAGAACAACCGATAACTACAGAACCTACAACCACAGAACAATCTACAACCACAGAACAACATACAACCACAGAACAACATACAACTGCGAACAGCCTACAACCACAGACAACCTACAACCACAGAACAACCTACAACCACAGAACAACCTACAACCACAGAACAACATACAACTACAGAACAACCTACAACCACAGAACAACCTACAACCACAGAACAACCTACAACAACACAGAACCAACAACCACAGAACAACATACAACAACCACAGAACAACCTTACAACCACAGAACAACCTACAACTACTCCAGACCACAACCACAGAACAACATACAACAGCCACAGAAAACCCACAACCACAGAACAACCTGCAACTACTCCGGACCCTACAACCACAGAACATACAACTACAGAAAACCTACAACCACAGAACTCTAACTACTCCAGGACCTACCCACAGAACAACATACAACAACTCCAGAACCTACAACCACAGAACAACCTACAACTACAGAACAACCTACAACTACACAGAACCACAACCACAGAAGAACCTACAACTACACAAGACACACAACCACAGAACAACCTACAACTACTCCAGAACCCACAACCACAGAACCTACAACTACTCCAGAACCTACAACCACAGAGACAACCTACAACAGAACAACCTACAACTCCCGGAACCTACAGAACAATCTACCACAGAACAACCTACAACTACTCCAGAGACCTACAACCACAGAACAACCTACAACTACTTCAGAACCTACAACCACAGAACAACCTACAACTACTTCAGAACCTACCCACAGAACCTACAACTACTCCAGAACCTACAACCACAGAACAATCTACCACAGAACAACACAACTATCCAGAACCTACAACCACAGAAAACCTACAACTACTTCAGAACCTACAACCACAGAACAACCTACAACTACTCCAGAACCTACAACCACAGAACAACATACAACAACTCCAGAACCTACAACCACAGAACAACCTACAACCACAGAACAACCTACAACTACACAAGAACCTACAACCACAGAAGAACCTACAACTACACAAGAACCTACAACCACAGAACAACCTACAACTACTCCAGAACCTACAACCACAGAACCTACAACTACTCCAGAACCTACAACCACAGAACAACCTACAACTGCAGAACAACCACAACTACTCCAGAGACCTACAACCACAGAACAATCACACAGACAACCTACAACTACTCCAGAACCCTACAACCACAGAACAACACAACTACTTCAGAACCTCACAACCACAGAACCCTACAACTACTTCAGAACCTACAACCACAAACAACCTACAACTACTCCAGAACCTACAACCACAGAACAATTTTACAAGAACAACCTACAACTACTCCAGAACCCTACAACCACAGAAAACCTACAACTACTTCGAACCTACAACCACAGAACAACCTACAACTACTCCAGAACCTACAACCACAGAACAACCTACAACTGCAGAACAACCTACAACTACTCCAGAACCTACAACCACAGAACAACCTACAACTACTTCAGAACCTACAACCACAGAACAACCTACAACTACTCCAGAACCTACAACCACAGAACAACCTACAACTACTCCAGAACCGACAACCACCAGAACAACCTACAACTACTCAGAATCTACAACCACAGAACAACCTACAACTACTCCAGAACCTACAACCACAGACAACCTACAACTACTCCAGAACCGACAACACAGAACAACCTACAACCAGAACAACCTACAACTACTCCAGAATCTACAACACAGAACGCCTACAACTACTCCAGAACCACAACCTCCAGAACAACACAACTACTGCGACTACAACCACAGAACAACCTACAACTACTGCAGAACCTACAACCACAGAACAACCACAACTACACCAGAATCTACAACTACTCGAATACAACCTCAGAACAACCTACAACTACTCTAGAACCTACAACCACAAAACAACCTACAACCACAGAACAACACAACACACGAATCTACTACTCCAGAACCTAACCCCAGAACAACACAACTACTCAAGAACCTACAACCACAAAACAACCTACAACTACACCAGAATCTACAACTACTCCAGAACCTACAACCTCAGAACAACCTACAACAAAGAACCCACACAGAGACAACCTACAACTACACAGAATCTACAACTACTCCAGAACCTACAACCCAGAACAACCGAACCTACTCCAGAACCTACAACCACAGAACAACCTACTACTCCAGAACCTACAACTACAGAAAACCTACAACTACTCCAGAACCTACAACCACAGAACAACCTACAACTACTCTAGAACCTACAACCACAAAACAACCTACAACAACACCAGAATCTACTACTCCAGAACCTACAACCTCAGAACAACCTACAACTACTCAAGAACCTACAACCACAAAACAACCTACAACCACAGAACAACCTACAACTACACCAGAATCTACAACTACTCCAGAACCTACAACCACAAAACAACCTACAACTACTCAACCTACAACCACAGAACAACCGACAACTACTCCAGAACCTACAACCACAGAACAACCTACTACTCCAGAACCTACAACTACTCCAGAACTCCAAGAACTCCAGAACAACCTACAACCTCCAGAACCTACAACCACAAAAACAACCTACAACTACTCCCAGAACCTACAACCACAGAACAACCTACAACTACTCAGAACACCTACAGAACAACCGACAACTACTCCAGAACCAACTACAGAAAACCTCCCAACTACTCAGAACCTACAACCACAGAACCTACAACTACTCCAGAACCTACAACCACAGAACAACCTACTACTCCAGAACCTACAACCACAGAACAACCTACAACTACTCTAGACACAACCACTGAACAACCTACAACTACTCCAGAACCTCACAACTACTTCGAACCTACAACCACAAACCTACAACTACTTCAGAACCTACAACCACAGAACAACCTACAACTACTACAGAATCTACAACCACAGAAAAACCTGCATTTAGAACCTACCCCAGAACAACCTACAAATACTCTAGAACCTACAACCACAGAACAACCTACAACTACTTCAGAACCTACAACCACAGAACAACCTACAACTACTCCAGAACCTACAACCACAGAACAACCTACAACTACTTCAGAACCTACAACCACAGAACAACCTACAACTACTCCAGAGCCTACAACCACAGAACAATCTACAACTACAGAACTACCTACAACTACCCCAGAACCTACAACCTCAACAACGAAGCCTACAACCACAACATCGAAGCCTACCACTACAACAACCACTACTACTACTACTACAACAACCACCACTACTACTACAACCACTCCTAAAACAACCACTACCACAACAACCCCTACTCGACGACCACTTATCCCCATCAACCCTCACAGTGTTCAGGGCGACATACTCATTGTAGACCTTCAGAGGAGTGACACACCTGGACAAAACCACGACACACCTGGACAAAACTACGACACACCTGGACAAACCTACGACACACCTGGACAAAGCCACGACACACCTGACACACCTGGACAAACCTACGACACACCCGGACAAAATCACGACACACCTGGACAAAACCACGACACACCTTTACAAACCTACGACACACCTGGACAAAACCACGACACACCTGGACAAAACTACGACATATCTGGACAAAACCACGACACACCCGGACAAAACTACGACACACCTGGACAAAACTACGACACACCTGGACAAACCTACGACACACCTGGACAAACCTACGACACACCTGGACAAATCTACAACACACCTGGACAAAACTACAACACGCCTGGACAAAACTACGACACACCTGGACAAAACTACGACATATCTGGACAAAACGAAGACGGAACTGGACAGAATAAAGACGGTACTGGACAGAATAAAGACGGTACTGGACAGAATAAAGACGGTACTGGACAGAATAAAGACGGTACTGGACAGAATAAAGACGGGACTGGACAGAATAAAGACGGGACTGGACAAAAATTACGCAATAGGAACAATGATAGATTCAGCTCCTGGCGGTCGAGATTTTTGGGTTGGTCCTCTAGAAATGAGATGTTGTAGCAGCTTAAATAGTCGATAGATAGATAGATAGATAGATGTACAGATAGAGAGATGGAGAGACAGATGGGAAGATAGATGGACAGATAGACAATATGAATCAATTGGGCATTAAATTGATGATTATATCCATTATTAATTATTGTCATTAACGATTTCCTGCTGAAGGTTCCGTCTTGCAATCAGTAATTAAACCCAAATGATATACCGGTAGTAATTATTGTGTTAGAACCTCTTAGCAAGTTTTTATTATAATAAAATACAAAAAATCATGAACTCAATTGACACAAACTCGACTAATTAATATTTGTTAGCTCAGTTAACTTTTATAAAGGCAATTAATTAATCAATACAGTAAAGCCTCGAATAACGACGTTAATGTGTCCTCCAATACAGTACTAATTTGAGTTATTTAAAGATTCGTGAAGTACACAACACCTGGACACTGTTCCTTAATTGACTTGATTTACCTGTGTGATGGTTCTTGTTACCTGGTGGCTGAACGACCATACAGGTAAATTTCACAGATGGATTACACAGACAACTTTCACAGGTAGATTACACAAGTGAATTACACAAGTGAATTGAACAGGTGAGTAGATAATTTTATATGGAACAGTGAATTATTGACTGACAGTATTTACAAAAATAATTTTCTCTCTCAACTGTTTAAGTTCCTCACGCGCTTAGGCCAAAATAATGTACTTGTATACGACACCTTCCCACCTGTGACCAGGACAAAGCATAGTCTTAATGATGCGTTTTATTTTATAAACATTGTGTGTACAGTAATTTTATCACGTGGAGATTTGCCCCAAGTGTTTGACTTAAATATTAAATTCAATAACTCTAATCTAATTCAGCATAACTTAACCTAACCCAACATAAACTAAAACTAACCTAACTTACCATAACAACCTAACCTAACCTAACCTAACCTAAGCCCTCAGGTTCTGGTAGGGTGAAATAATTACACCAACTGATATATTAATGTAGTTATTCAAGTCTATGATGAACTATTTTTTTGTGTTAAGTGTCCATAATGTGTGCGTGTGAGTACATCTTAAGTGTCCATAATGTGTGCGTGTGTGTACATCTTAAGTGTCCTAGTGTGTGCGTGTGTGTACATCTTAAGTGTCCATAATGTGTGCGTGTGTGTACATCTTAAGTGTCCTAGTGTGTGCGTGTGTGTACATCTTAAGTGTCCATAATGTGTGCGTGTGTGTACATCTTAAGTGTCCTAGTGTGTGTGTGTGTGTACATCTTAAGTGTCCTATGTGTGCGTGTGTGTACATCTTAAGTGTCCTAGTGTGTGTGTGTGTGTGTACATCTTAATGTCCATAATGTGTGCGTGTGTGTGTCCTAGTGTGTGCGTGTGTACATCTTATGTCCATAATGTGTGCGTGTGTGTGTAATGTCTTATGTCCTAGTGTGTGCGTGTGTGTGCGTGTGTACATCTCCTGTGTGCGTGCGTGTACATCTTAAGTGTCCTAGTGTGTGTGCGTGTACGTGTAGTGTGTGTGTACATCTTATGTCCTAGTGTGTGCGTGCGTACATCTTAGTGTCCTAGTGTGCGTGAGCACATTAAGTGTCCTAGTGCGTGTGTACATCTTAAGTGTCCTAGTGTGTGCGTGCGTGCACATCTAGTGTCCAGCGTGTGTGTATCTTATGTCCTAGTGTGTGCCATATGTCCTATGTGTGCGTGTGTGTACGTCTTAAGTGTCCTAGTGTGTGCGTGCGTGTACATCTTAAGTGTCCTAGTGTGTGCGTGCGTGTACATCTTAAGTGTCCTAGTGTGCGCGTGCGTGCACATCTTAAGTGTCCTAGTGTGTGCGTGCGTGTACATCTTAAGTGTTCTAGTGTGCGCGTGCGTGTACATCTTAAGTGTCCTAGTGTGTGTGTGTGTGTGTGTACATCTTGTCTTAATATGCTTAAGTATACAAGTATGTGTATATCCTACCTGTAAATGGCTCTATATATGTACAACTTAAAGTGTTCACCTGTGTACATCTTACCCTAATACTGTATAGTAGTAAAACAACTATCTGTGCAGGTGGGGGTCGATATGCTCCGAAATTTTAAGAGTGACTAGTGACAGCCCATGTACCAAAATTTATCGTCCATGGTCTCATATTGTTTCCCACAAAGTATGCACACATAGTTGTTTTAGCCATAGTACACTTGACCATATACTGTATTTGTACCTATTACCTTAAGATACCTTACATACTGTAAGTGTCCATGTATGTGTACATCTAAATACAAAAGTTTACATTTAAGTGTACAGTACAATGTGTATGAACAGTCACTCAAAATACTATCTCAACTTGAGGGGCTTCGATGAATTTCAGAATGAACACTACGACGCCTGTTGTCTCGGTAGGGTTACCAAATCCTTCGTCCGTTGTGTCATATTTTTTTAACACAATTTTGTATATATAGTTTTTTTGAGTGACTGGACATCTCACCATCAGTAATATTTTGTTTAGGCAGACGCATTAAATCAACCACAAGGCGTCACAGGTAAACACACTAACACCGGGACCCCCATAGTGGATTCTGACACACGACAACAAACTTTTCCTGGTTCTGGCTATTATGTGGTGTTACAGGAGTCATGTAAAGGTACTAATGTTGATAATAATTACTTCCTCGTGGTCTTGGTGTTTGTACTGTACAGCTTCGGAAGTAAAAGTAATGGCTGCTTGTGTGTTTTTTTTTTAATCTTATATGTTTATGCTGTCAGTTTTGTTGGTGTGTGTTAAACGTCTTCAAGGAGCATCTGTAAGGTTAACCACTAGTTTATATCACATGTAGATTAACCACCCTAACACTAACCTAGCTATCCAAACCAGCCCTAACCTAATGTTAACCAAGCCTACCCTAGCCAGACGCTACTTTAACCAAACTTACCCTACCCTACCCTAACCGAAACGCCGAAACTAACCAAACTTAACCTAACCAAATTTAAATTAGCCTAATGCTAACCAGACCTACCTTAACTTAGCCGAAACCAAACTTAACGCTAATATTACCTTAATTAACCTAACTGAAGCAAATCCCTTGGTAGTGTTAGATTGTTTAACCTTCAGGTGAAATAAACTAATTGAGTGTTTAATCTTCAGGTGATCCGTTTTCTATCACCTCAATAAATTAATCTATGTTAACTCTATTTCTGCCATTTACTAATTACCTTTTTATCTACTTACTAATTTATTCTTTTTTATCACGTGTCTTAATTATCTATGTACACTTTCACTTGTTTGTATTATTTGTTATTACTTTTGTATTTCCTGTTACAGAAAAGGATAATAATTATGTTATAAAATTAATAATAAAAACTAAAATGTGTAATTTATGCCCAAAAGTGTAAAGTGTAAAATAATTCTTTCCTAAAAGTGTCAAATAATTTGCCCTTTAAAGTGCAAAGTGTGTAGTAATTTCTGCCTGAAGTATGAAGTGTAGTAATTTCTGCCTAAAAGTGTAGAGTGCGTAGTAATTCATCTAAAAGTGTAGTGTAGTAATTTGTCTATACAGTAAGTGTGTTGTGTGTAGTACCTTCTGCCTATAAGTGAGTAAGTACATAGTAATTTCTGTCTAAGTATGGTCTGTAGAACCTCAGCTTACCGGAACTCACCTACGACCTAAACTATCACTGTGTTCTTTCTGTAGCGTATAACCTCAATAATAATAATAATAATAATAATAATAATAATAATAATAATAATAATAATAATAGTAATAATAAAAACAACAATGATAATAATGAAAACAATAAGAGTAATAATAATAATAATAATAACAAATCAAGAAGCATTATATATTATCTACTTTGGTCATCGTCAACAATGTGGCTACGAGTGCCCGGGTCAGGTACACAGGACCATGTAATGACAGCTATCAGAGGCAGGCAGTTATGTGTCGACGAGGAGGTAATATTATCAGTGTTATGGTCACTTTAGTAAGACCATAAAAAGCCAAACATAACTCAGAGACTTGACTGAGAGGAACATGCTAACTTTCATCAAAATGGAACTTTAAATATTTCTGTTGGGTAGTATTTATATCCAACAGACAGACAGACAGGGACAACGACAGAGAGGGCAAACCCACGAGAGTCAGACACTGCCCACTTATGATGAAGCTGTGTAAAAACAAAATGATCACCTGAAGATTAGTCCTCTTCACCTTATTTCACCTGATGATTAAACAGGTAAGATAATTAATCAAGGCTGGCTAATCTTCAGGTGATCCATACACAACGCTCGCACGACCATACCCGCCTTGCAGTATTACAGGTTTTCACTCTTCGCTTGGACTTGTTTTCGTTCCAGATGTGATGTTCCCAAAGGCGTTGAGTGTGCACAGTGGCCAGAACCCAGTAACCCACCAGACCCTTACCACCACCATGACAGGCGACCCTTGTGATGGACGCTGCCTCCCTCACTTCAAAACGGACTTGGATGACAGGGATGAGTTATTCAGTGTGAAGCAAGAGGAAGCCGAAAAGGGCGGTAGCAACATGGCCAGGGTGAAAGAGGAGGGAGAGAGATACCAGGGCTTGGTTAGATTTATAAGAAAAGATTTTAGTGACAGAATGACCAGTGTGAAGGGCGAGGAAGAGGAAGGAGGAGGTCGCAGTGTGGTCATCAAGGTGAACCAGAGTCAAACACAGAACCAGCAGGCGGTGGTGGTAGGTCCTGCGCCCTCCTCTTACCCCCTTCCTCCTTACATCATTTGGCTGGTCCCTCTAGGCACCCAGAAGCCTCACACCACCACCACCCAACACTCAGGACCAACGGCGCCAGGACAAACATCTAATCCCACCACAATAGTTTCCACCACCTCCCCTCCGACCACTTCTACAACAGCCCCATCACCTACTACTACTACCACCCCATCGTCTATCACTACCACTCCACCACCAACTATCACCACCACTCCAACTACCACCCCACCAACAACCACCACTACTACCACCCCACCACCTACCACTACCACTCCACCACCAACTACCCCCACCACCTCACCAACTACCACCACCACCATCACCACCCTACCTCCTACTACCACCACCCCACCGCCTACCACCACCCCACTGCTTACCACTATCACCACCCTACCGCCTACCACTCACACCACCCTACCGCCTACCACTACCCCACCGCCTGCTACTACCACCCCCCACCGCCCTACCCCACACCACCCCTGCACCCCACCGCCTGCCTACCAACTACCACCACCCCTGCCCACCACCACCACCCCACCCCACCACCACCACCACCTCACCACCATCACCCCCCACCCCCACCACCACACCACCCTCCCGCCCACCACACCCCACACCCTACCACTACCACCCACCCCACCGCCCACCCCACCACCGCCTACCACTCACCACCACCCCACCGCCTACCACTACCCCACCCACACCACCACGCCTACCACTACCACCTCCCACCACCACCCACTGCTTACCACTATCACCACCCTACCGCCTACCACTACCCCACCGCCTACCACTCACACCACCCTACCGCCTACCACGACCCCACCGCCTACCACTACCACCACCCCACCGCCGACCACTACCACCACCCCACAGCCTACCACCATCCCACCGTCTACCACCACTACTACCACCCTATCAACTAATACCACCACTCCAACAACCACCACTACGACTACTCAACTCGGCACAACCATCATCTCTTCATGTAATTGCACATCAACCACTATAATCATAACTACTGTCCCTACCACCACCCCGATCAGTAGTGGGAGTACTACTATCCCCGTTCAAGCTGACGAAGTTACCACCGAGGTCATGTGGACAAACTCTTCCTCACAGACGACAGCTCCACCTACTGACGTCACCACCCAAGCCACTGTAGGGGAGGTATCCACTACAGTCACTCAAGAAACTACCGATAATAATGAGAGTTCCTGCACATGCATCCTACTAACAAGTACCACCATTTCCACCTCTCCTACAGCGACTACTGCCACTTCCACCGCTAGTACAACCCTCACTACCACAACTACCACCCTTACCACCACCCCGGGTCGTATAACGTTACCCATAAGACCACTGGTTGGGACTATGGCATTCGAAATTCCTGTAGCTCTTTACCCAGTCACTCCTACTACTACCCCTTGAGTTACCCATCACATTGCAGAATTCCGTCTTCTTTAACTAGTATTGTTCGCGTTTTCTTCTATAATGAAATTTTATCAATTTCGCAAATACAATATCGCAGTAAAGTGTTGTAATTAACTACAAATACAACATCACTCACTAACACTACCTAGCCATTAGCGGACATCATGAAAAGTGTCTCCTAGTAAAGTTTATAAAGCTAACACGGTTCTCGTACACTTCGGAAGGTACAAACACGGTCTCCACACACCGCATATACGTACATACAGTATACCATTCACTGCATTGTTACCAGAGAATACTAGTAGAACATGCTACTGGTCGCTGGGAGTGACGCAACATGCCGCACCATGCCCCTCAACACTTTCGTCGCAGTGCGCCACAGTCACTACTGGAAGAGTTTAGTTCCGTTTAGAAATTAAATCAAGTAATAATTGCCTTTCTGATAATTTTTTTCGTTCGTAACAATGTAAGGAACAAGTTTCTAGCAGTTCAAGTGACTTCATTTTATAAAAATAAGTCATTGAATGTAAACGATTTGGAGTTTCGTGAGTGAGTGAACTAATGAGGAGTCCTATAAAATTGCGAGCATGGCTTAACATTAGCTACTAACTAATCGATGGCCAACGCGCACCTCCCGTACTTGGCCAGCCTCATAGTCTACTGATAAGCCTCGCTTACTGACAACTTAAGACCCGGAGGTAAACCCTGCAGGCATTCTCTCAATAAGGGTACAGTACTTATCCCGGGATGATAAGGTTGGTTATCTCCTTATAAATATTGGAAATACCGGATCAACCAGGTGTACCATCTTCCTATAGCCGAGTGCTGGGGGTAGCTCCTGCTGATCTAGGTGGGTCCTGGGTTTGAACAGGAGTCTTTGAGTGCTGTTTTACGCTTTTCACACGACATTATGCTTTACTGTCTGGATGGTTACTCACATCTTGCTAACCTTACCAACTTGGGCACCAGCCTAGTGGTAAGTGCTGGGGATACTCCTCCCAAGAAACATTCCCCACCTTACTCGTGTGTACTTTTAGTTTAACAAATTTATTGACGCAAGCCACCCCACACACACACGGCCCCTCACAAGGTTACCCTTGCCCCTACCTTCACCAGACGCCACGTAGACTCCGCTGCCAAGTCATGATGACTAGCAGATTCCTGTCTTTAACAGCCCCAAGAGTACATGTATTTCTGCTCCTCAGCACGTAGTGACGCAGGTCCCTCACGTCAACCCTGTCAGACCTCTAAACCAGCAGTCCGATAACACATACGCCATTCTACACAGCTGTCGGACACCGTGGGCATCTCACCTACGGGTCATTCCCCTTCTGGCCGTCTCCCGGCCTGCGGTGTCGCTTCCAGCTTTCACCCAGAGCTGACTACGACAAATCCTTCTTCAAGGGTGACACCTCAAGTGATACGTAAATAGCTGGGGGGTCGTTTATAATTATCTCTCGCTACTGCTCTGCGGCTGCCGGAGAAATGTGTCAAATGCACTGAGGCGCATAACACGTTCCAGTCCTCACCGGAGTGACCGGATCCCGAAACAACACACTGGTGAGTGGTGACACTGCCTCCGACACCTCTTTTTCAGTGTAATCTCCCATAGTTACATTGAATGTTTCTCGTTGTCATAAACAAGGAGTCGGTAATACCTTAGACACCACTCGTGGGAAGGACCCATTTTAGGGAAATTTTCTGATAAGGAAAATTTGTTTCCTACCTCACGAACAGAAAAAATGGGCGGAGAAATTACAAATTTCCTACATAAAATGGGTTTCCGATGTTTTCATCGTTACGTAATAGTGTTATTACTACGCTTCAACAACTTGGGTCCTCAACCACATAACTTGGTTAGTAGTCCATCAAAAAAAAAAGATGCAACCTCAACCCCTTCTACACAAGCGGGAAGGTATCAAGATGCCTTATCACTAGTCATGTGCGCGTCACGAGGCACACATTTCATAAACAACAACTTAATGAAACAATATCCCGGACATATCTTCAAAACTGTGGACCTACCATCGACGTATCCGATTTATTGCAGATAAGATGATAAAAGTGGAGGAGACGGTTATCACCAGAAGGAACTTATGGAATTGGACTGTTTTACCAATCTTCCAAGGTTTTGTATCTCTGGAGACCCAGCTTTTAATTTTATTCATCCAACCCAGCTTTTGCCTTCCCCTGGCCCTCCTACCCGCAACTTTACCCATAATTATTTTTTTGTGATCCTCTCATCCTTAATTATATGACCAAAGTATCTCAGTTATATTTTTTTCTGTACATTTCAAGTATTTCCTTTGAAGTTCTCGCTAATCTTAGTACTTCTTTGTGTTTTCCTGTCAGTGTAGTGAATATGTATTAAAGCGTATCCAGTCATTCTCTCCTAACATGGTGGACTGAGTAATATTTTGTCCGTCTTAAATCTTAATACATACAGTGAAGGACCTTCCAGTGTCACGACTTACTCAAGAGCCGTCGCCCGTCAGCTACCTTGGCCCAGACTAAGAAAATATAAAGAAGCAAAATGTAGGCCTACATAGGCTTTACTTGGTATTTTGTACTTAAGTAATTCATGGATTTATTTCACTATACCATGGATGTTATGCTCCTGGGAATCTTTTTTAACAACCCCAACAAACGGTGTATTTATTTGGTATGTGTGTGTGTGTGTATCCTGACAATTGTATCCAGCCCTGCAAATAACAAAAGTAAACAAAGATAGTAAAACATGATAAGTCACACTGCAGCCGTCGGGTAGTTCACTTGGTATACAATGTATATGTTGATCAACAGGACTGAGAACCATGTTTCTCGACCTATACTAATATATTTATAACTATATTAATTTTCTTCTTACGTACTATAGATTCTTATATATAATACTACCATTATTACTCTAAAGACTGTTGTAGATTTCTTACTGGCCACAATACACTTTATTACCAAAAAATCTAATGTAATTAACCACTCATAGTTATTGTTGGTCAGCCCACACGTGTAGTTCTGTAGGTCGTATATCTGTCATCAGAGAACCGGTTTACTTTCAAGGGTCTCTGGTGGAATGATTATCACTACCTTACATAACCACGTTACATAACTCCCAAGTGGTGGTCATGTCCGTTCGTGGGAGGTAGAGGGCCAGTTGCTAACTTTAGCTCGCTCGGTATAAATTATCCTATCATGAGGCTACTAAACTTTCTTCATCTACCAGCCAGTTATCCTTAATGCCTCCATACACAAGATTTTTCTTCATCTAGGCCAACTGTACAAACCCAAGAGGAGGATCGGCCATGAATATCAAAGAAGAAAACCCTCCGATTATCTTACATTGTTATGGCTGCTCAAAATAATTACCCAATTCTCTATCAGCTTTTTTTGGATCACTACATCTGTCGGGCGGAAAATTTTATTATAAAATAACCTGGTGTACACTGCAGGTCGCTTCAGTCTGGATGTACACATTTTATATGCTTCATTTTGGAATGTTTCAATATCAATTTCTCGCAACTAGCGTTGGAGTGCTCAGGGTTAGTGTGGCACGACCTCTCTATGAAGTCTCCTTGCACGATCCTGCTAAACATTGGTTACATTCCTGAGGCACTGCTCCTCCTGGAAGCATTGCTGACTTAGTACTAACAGTCACCAGCGGCTTGGCTAGCCATCTCGCTCGGCCAACATCTGGCCAGGGCTGGCTATAGCCCTGGGCCACTTAGGTCAGACTCGCTCCGAGGTCTTATGAGTGCAAGCAATGAAAATCTGTTGTACTTTGCCAGCTGAAACCAATTACAGGCTAGCCACATCTTGTCACAATCAACAGTCAACGTCTCTCTTGGTCAACAAGTTATATTTAGTAACTGCCACAACTTACCATTTCAGTCCAGAACGTCCTGATTTACCCAGATTTAAAGTACTGTACGCTGATGCCCGCTGAGTACTTCATTGGTCGGGGGGGTGGGGGTGAGAGGGCACTACCGCCATATATAATTGACCCTTATGTTGTTACTATTGATGTGTGCACCTCTTCTCCCCGCCACAAGGTGTAATCTTACATCCGGCATCGCCTAGTGATTGGTTTACTAGGAAAAGGAGACAAGAATGAAGGCTGGTCGTATGGCAGACTTTAAATAAAGAACCGATATGTTGGTTTATACCTCAAGATATTCCATTACAGTAAAGCTTATTACCAAAATATTATATTGTCTATAGCATGTCACACACACACTCACATTATATATATATATATATATATATATATATATATATATATATATATATATATATATATATATATATATATATATATATATATTTCATTAGCCCAATAAAGCAAGCGGACTTCTACATATAATCAACACCTCACCCCGCCAGGATTCGAACCCACGGTCTTATAATTGTCTAGGGCTGCTTTTAGTGTCCTGGTGGCCCAGAGGTTAGCGTTCCCCGGTCACAATTATAAGACAGTGTATCGAACGACGTTGGAGTAGGTAACCATTATACAAACTATAAATGAATAACACCATTACTAACCTAACTAACGTCAACCTAATCTAGGTATAGTTTGGTTATGTTACGAGAGTAAACGTTGTCTTAAATGAAACAAGAAATTTATTATATATGAATTTATTTCCATTAAGTTATAGCAATAAACACAAATGTTATAAATACTCAGCCAAAAATATCAGGGGTGTGTGTGTGTGTGTGTGTGTGCGCGCGCAAAGGAGCATGACAAGCAAGGCAGCAGCTGGCGATGACCCAACACGGCTACACTACTCATCGTGACTGGCTACGCAGCCCCTCCGCTCCTCCCAAACATACACCATCTGACCCCTCTTTAGTACATATCCTCCCAATATATTTACACACACAATGACTGCATCATGTTGCAGCGTTAGTCTGGATTCTAAGTAGATCTTACCTACGTCAGTGTTTGCTGGTAAAAAATGGGACCAAGATCAAAATACTGTACATGAGTGTTAATGCTTGAACACCCCGCCACATGTAGGTGCCTAAGTAGCGTGAGGATAGACAGCAAATTATACTGTATATCCTCAGTGATACTTGGAGTTTGAAATTATGTACACTGTAAAATAATACTGTACTGTTAGGCTCATGGATACGGATCAGTGTACTGAGTGTGGGCTATGTGTGCGGTGTCGGAATGAACCATATGCCAATGCTTGACAAATACATGTGTTTAACACGTACTATTATTTGACTAATACTTTCAATAAATACACCACACCCCACAATATAACTCACCCCACAATCTCACTACACCCCAACAATCTCACTACACCCCAACAATCTCACTACACCCCAACAATCTACCTAAACAACCCCCATTAAAAATACTGTAGATCACAATAACTAAGTTTATGTTGACTTAACATTGGTAAGAGGGGTGCAGTAGATGTACCAAAAGCATCTCATCTCTTACAAAGGTGAGGCCACTACCTATTTTTCGGGAAGTGATGGAAGGTAACAGTCCCTTCTTTATAGTTTGAGTAACAGCCAAACACTGTACAATAGCTAGGTATGCTCCAATGATTTCTGGCTGTCATTAAAGAACACTCATCACAGTGGTGGCCTGAGGTGAAGTCCTTAAAGTCATGTGCGTGGGTGACAGCGTTAGTGAGTACTGGTGTGTTTTGATCTTGGTTGTTACATCACATCCAGTTAGTGATTTGAGCTACAATAAAAAAACTTGGAATGCCTAAATAACGCCAGAAATAGAAGTGAAATAAATACATTAGTCATCAACAATCAAAACAGAAACTCATTAGCCTCGCCTTGCTTCCTTTGTAATTGGTGGCCGTCAACGTGTGGGTCACTATAGCTGTTAGCAGAATTCAATGGTGAGGTTTTGTGGGATCTCGTGGCTGCCTCTTGTAGTGTTATAATGTTTATAAGAAAGAATTAAATTGCTATGAGTAATTGGTGACAGGTGGTAATGGTATGAATAGTGAAACGCGGGTCAGTTCTGTGTACTGAAATAACATGAATTAAGAATAAAAATGTTGTATTCTAATAAACGAAAGAAGAAATAAACTCATAAAAAATAAAACCACATTTCTAAGTTTAATAAAAGAGACTAGTCCCCAGCCTGCCTAATCACACAGTCTTGAAGGGATGAGTCCCCAAGGATCCTTCAGTGGTGTATCGGTGTCTTGGCCATTGTGTGCGAGGAGGTTCTCTATGGTCAAGTGCACTCCAGCCTTGGTAGTGGCGGCTTCAAGTTGCCTCCTCGCATTGTTATGTGATGGCCAATAGTACAAGAGACATTACGACCACATATGAGACTTTGTGATGGTAACTATTGGTTAATGAATGGGTCAGGTGAGTCATGAATGATGGTTAATGTAGGAGTCAGGTGAGTCATGAATGATGGTTAATGTAGGGGCCAGGTGAGTCATGAATGA